TGGTTACAGGATCTTTGCTCTTTTGCATGTCACTCCAGCCCAGTAACCAAAGGGTTATTCCCACCAGAGTGGGTGGAAGCTATTCCCATAGAGCTAACCCCACAGAGCTATCCCACAGCTACCTTAAGGACCAACACCAAGCTGTGGATACCAATGGTTCCCAGTCAGAGCTGAACAATTCCCAGTTGTGGAAGGAAGGGAGGTGGAAGGTGGATCTATGTACCCCACTGACTCCTCCTGGCGAGGGGCCTAAACAGAAACAGTCTGGTGCATCCTCCAAGGAGCTGGCCCAGCACGGAGCTGTCTCTTGGCAGCAGGACACGATGGCTTCCTCCACCAGCAGGGTGATGAGCAGCTTCACACAATCCCCATTGAGTCACAGCTTCGTTGGTGGCCTCGGCGGCGCAGAGTGGCTCAGCCCAGGGTGCACCCAGGGGACCCATTTTAGGCACCGGTGACAGAGGCATCAGCAAACACAGCTATAAATAGTGGTGTGGAAGGAACGAGATGGTCAGGCTGTTCAAATCCTGGCACGGCCCTGCTAGTGCTGATAGCAAGTGCCCTTTGCTTGTTCTCTTGCCGTCAGGTCCGTTTATCTATTCTTCCAACTCTCGGTGTTTCTGTCACTCTGTCACCAGGTTCCCTGCCCTGATATTTTATCCTCCTGGGATGGCTGCTGGTCCCTGTGGTGTTTGTTGGTGTCTATTCTGTGCTCTAGGATGGATGTAAAACTAAACATGCTGCAGGGACCAGGTGGAGTCTCCACCTGGGACTTCTCACAGACAACACCACAGGGACGTTGGGACAGCCCAACATGTCCCTTACACACTGGGACCTGCAGGCATCCCTGCAGAGACACAACAGGGGTTTGCTGCACTTCAGAGCACTCCTGGATTTCTGCTTTCCTTCCCCAAGGAGCTGGAGTCACCCTCCAGACCTGACATTACCTCTGGACCATTCATCAGTTGTGGATTCCCCATCCCTGGCAGCATTCAAGGCCAGGTTGGATGGGGCTTGGAGCAACCTGGTCTAGTGGAAGGGGACCCTGCCCATGGCAGGGGGGGGACTGGATGGTCTTTAAGGTGCCTTCCAACCCAAACCAATCTGTGATACTATGGTTCATTCTGATCTCTGTCACAGTGATAGGGAAACTGAGGCAGAGAGGTGTCATGACTTACCTGATGTACATGAAGGACCAGGAGAGCAAATTCCACTCTCTGCCCAACCTCCCTGCCATGCAGCTGGTCATCAGGGGTGTCACACCCTCACCAAGACACCCCAAAATGTATCTTGGGGTTAAAATCCTGGCTTCCTCATGAAAAGCTGTTCTTGCTATTCAAGGGCCGTGATTACCTCGGGAACATCTGCGCTGACAATAGCTGAGTGGCAGCATAATTCCCCATCAGCTCTGCCTCCGCGTTCTCCTCCTCCATGGGCTTCAGTTCAAAGCACACTCACTGCACAGCCCTGCAATGCCTGGGGAAGGAAAAAGCTCCAAAAACAAGCAACAGAAACAAAAAACCTCAGGCTTGCAGCAAACAAGGCAGCCCAGAACCCACTGCACAAACCTCCTTCCCTCCCTGCACAGCCTTGGCCCATGTCCCTCCATGACCCGTTGGCTCCTTGGGCCCAGAGTCAACCTTGAGTCAAAGGCTCAGGGTGGTCTTTGCTCAAACATCAAAGACAGATCTTGGCTTTGCTGTAGACATCCTGACCTCTCAGGACTGGATGGACACACCTGGATTTTCCCTGGTGCAACACGGGCTGGAATTCGGTTTTTCCTCCAGGCATCTGGTGGAGGAACACACAGGGCTAGGGATGGGCTGGGGGAAAGCATTCCAGCAAGTAAGAACACTCTCTGCTGAGGGCCACCCGTCCCTTAAATGAACACCCATAGCAGGGATGCTGCCCTGGGGCCTATGGACATTCCTTGGCTATATTTGGTGCTGGATGGAGAATTTGTTGCTTCCCCTTAACCCATCTGTTCCCCTTATTGGCAGGGAGGAGCTAACACCAGAACTGCAGTGTCGCTATTCGGATAAACTCGGTACTTCAGCGGCAATAAATCTCCTCTATTAAGCTTTTGCTGCCTCCCACCTGTTGGCTGGGAGAAGATCAAGTTGACAAAAGTCTTGTGCCAAACTGTATTTTTATCCAGGGCTTCATCACGAGTCCAGGCTCCAACAAAAGCTGCTCGTGAAGCAGAGGGAGGTGGTTGTATCACCACACATCTCGATTCTGGAATCCCACCCCTCCCAGAGGTCTCCAGTTCCCAGGTAGCTGCTTTTCTTACAGTTTCTGAACTCCCTTAAATCCCAAAAAAAAGCCTTTTCCCCCCCTCTTGTCACCTCCCCAACATCACCATAAAACTTGGGAGGTCCCAACCAGAGTGCCAAATACCAATTGTGAGAACAGCAACAGAGCCAGACTGGAACCAACACAGTTTATTACAGAAAAACACCCCAAGGGATTTCATTAACATGGCAAAAAAAAAAAACAAACAACCCACCAGAGGACAATGAAGTGAAACCCACAGCAACAACACACAGCAGGAAAGTCCAGTTGTCAGCCAGCACAGCACTAGAGGCACAACCACACTGGCCCATCCAGGTGGGAGATGTGCCCAGTCCACAGAGCCAGTCCCAAGCACCACATCACTCCCCCAGCCCAGGGGGATGTCACAGATGGGCACACAAGGAAAGGACACAAGCAGCAAGTCCATGTCTTCCAGTTGTAGTGATGGAGGAGAAAAAAAAAATACAGGAAGCCAAGTGGATGAAAGCAAATGGGGCAGCCACTGCAGGAAGAGAAAATGCTTCCCACTTGGGAAAGACTTGGGAGAGGCAAAGGGAGATTCTGCCTCACCTGGGGCCCAATTCCTCAGCCCCACATCTCCCAGTGAGCCCCCAACCTGCCCTGGCAGCAGGAGAACCCTAAACAGGGTCACTAAAACTCTGTCCCCAGCTCCCTGTGCATCTTAGGGCTTGAAAAAACAGCAGGAAAGTTGTGGAGATCCAGGGCTCTGCCCCAAAACCACAATCCATTGCTTTCTTGGGGCTAACAGCATCTCCAGCCAGGGCATCTCCTCCTGCCAGCCCAGTCCCACCAGCATTACCTCTGGATCATCCAACACATGCATTCCCCACGGCATCTGGTGCCAACACCCAGCCCAGGGGCTGTGCCCACACCCTGTATCCGACCCCAAGGTCTGGCTGACAATTCCATTCCTCCTCCAGTCCCCAAAAATGCACAAGCTGGGCTTGTCTGGGCTTCCACGATGTGATCTTCCAGCAACCCCTTGGAAATGTTTCCTGGGAGGCCAAGCTGTTCTCCCAGCTGCCAAAAAGGTCTCCAAGACCCAGTTCAGATCCCAAATCCTTAGGTTCCCAGGGAAAAGATGAGACCTTTTTATAAAACTGTATATTAATAGATGTGTCAAAAAAGATACTCATTCCTTTCAAGACTTTTTGTTTGGATTTAAAACCTTCCTCCGAGGTGTTTGTCACCTAGATGTGACAAGTAACAGTCTGACAAAGAGTTTTGGGG